CTTTATGGAGAGCAGTTTTTTTTAAATACAGTTTGATAAAATGTTATTATGTTCGATTAGTCGACTAATTTATTTTTTAATTAATACATTTTCTTAAATTGTTTTTTATACTCTTTAGAAAAAATTGAGGAAACAAAAAAAATTCCCAAAATTTTTTGGTGATTTTTGAAGGGACGTATTTAAATTAAGGAAGAAATCATTTCGAAGCTTCAAGTTTCTAGTTTTGAGATCTTTTGACAAAAATTTTTTTCTGAGCTAAGGTTATTCCGCGATCCTAACAAATAGCTCGAGAAAAAAATTATAATTTTTTTTATTGTTTTTGGTCCACAGATTGGGGATTTTTCTTGTTAAATCAATGCATGGGCTAGATAACTTGCTTATTCAGCTTTAATTTGCTTTCTTATATTCTCCTTTCATCAATTTGTCATTAGATATCTGACTTTTAATGCAAAAAGACCTTTTTGTCTTTGATCATCAAAAACATTAAAATAAAAAAAAATTCAAAAACTGGGATAAACCTACAAGAACCTTTTACGATTTTTAGAAAAAAAATCTTTACTATGAACATTGATTTAAAAGAAAGAGAAAACAGTAACTTTTTTGAACAAGTTTTTATATTGTTTCTGGACATTGTGTAATATTTATCAAAATAAAAAACGTTTTTTTTCAACTATATTTCCAAACAAGCAATCCGGGCTGAGCATTGATTTAATTAAAAAAAAAAAAAACGAATTCCTAGAACAAAAATACAAAAAAAATTCCGTGCTATTTCCTAGTATTGCGTGATAATCGTTTCTGGGAAAGAAATTTGCCAAAAGAACTCAAAACTAGCAAACTTGAAGCTTTGAAATGTTTTTTTCAATATAAATATAACCATTTTTCACTGAAAAACAGCTTTTCAAAAAGCACCAAAAAATTTAGGATATTTTTGGAGTAGCGTATCTTAAACGATTTTTTTTGTTTAAAGAATGTTTATTTTTAGTATTTTCCTTATTACTAACTTTTTATGTTTAATAATTTTTCAGCTTAGAAACACCAAATTATTAATAAATCTTCTGGTTGAAATATGTCTTAATTTTAACTTAAAATAATAATGACCGACAAAAATATAAAATATGAACAAGAAAGCGATTTAAATTAAAATGAAGGTGTTATTTAGATTGAGCAAAAAACTGAGAAAAACAAAATTTTTGATAAATTCGAAACCGAAGAATCTAAAAATTTGCTTCATTTTGGTAATTTTGCTTTCTAAATCCACAAAATCAACATTAAAACATAAAAAATGCGAAATCACCGAAACAAACCACAATAAAACGTTTAGGAGCCAAGAATATGTTACCATTTACATTATTTTTAATTGGAAGTCTGAGAAAAAGCGAAATTTTTTCGCCAAAAATGAGTTAAACGAAAAAAAAAAAGTTTTCTATTTAGGGTTTTAATTTTCGACAATTTTTCCAGGTCGCGAGATAAGGCCGGAAGACATCGGCCTAATCACCGCCAAGGGCCCCGACGAGACACACCCCTTCATGGTGGCCTTCCTCAAAGCCAGCAACCACGTCCAGCCCAAACGAAGCATTCGCGACTTGAGCTCGAAACGTCGTGTTCGAAAATCAAACTACGTGGAGATGATGCTAAATGACAACCCCCATTACGGGTCCACGTGCAAGATGTACGACCTCTACATCAGTTTCAAGGACTTGAAATGGCAGGTTTGTATTTCTAACACCCTAAAACAGGGATTACACAAGGCGACAAAAAAAGTCTTAATATTTTTTTTTCTAATTTAAATGAATTTAAAATACTTTAACTTAACTAAATCATTACTCAATAACTATTAGGCCGATTTTTTTCAAATAAAGACCATTGAATATTGGCAAACTTTTCTTCGAACAGTGTTCGAAAAAGTTCGAAGTAAATCGAAGTAATCTAAGAAAAACCCTACGAGTAATTTTTTTTCATCGTTACCATCGTGTAGAGCATCTCTTTATTAGTTGTAATCCAAATTTTCAAAAGAATATACCGAGTAGTTTTCAAGATATGATTTTTTGGAGTTAAGGCTGTCCGGGAGTGAACGGGCAAGTCGGTTTTCAGCACTTATTATTCTTTTTCAAAAGCAACCAGTAATACACCCTAGGCAGGGTCCAAACTCAGTCTTTACCTGTGTTCAGGGGTTGGGTCAGTAAGGGTAATAAATTGTAATAAAAGTAAAAGATCAGTTCGCTAATATTTTTATGCCTTGAATTTGTGGAAGTTGCTTTAAATTTCTTAGAAAGCTAAATATTGTTTTGACTTTTGGATCTTAAAAAAAAAATCTAATCATAATTATTCTATCTATCAGATAGGTTGTACATATTTACTAATTAGAAAGCTCACAGGTTCTATTTTCAATGGGAATTAAATTTTTGTATGGGGTAACAAGACATATAATTCCATAAATTAAAATTTTTACAATTGAAAAAATTACAAATTTATGCAATTTTGGACATCAAGATATGTCAGTTCAAAAAATATCAACCTAAGCCACGCTTTAGTGTCATTATGATTGACGTTTGGATCTAAAACTTGAAAGTTTTAGTTGAAATTTATTTTTGGCGTCAATTTCCTAATTCATACAATAATGCCAGCAGTTGCAGTACGTTTTTTTACATAGTTATAATTTTTTTATTATTATTTTGAATTATGGTAATTTTTATTTAGCTGTCAGCATAAAAACTACAAAAATCAAAAACAAAAATTGCACATGAAGTCAGTTTTACATTTTATGTCAACCGAATAACAAATCGTCTAGAATTCCGTGTCCGTACATCTAAATATCAAATTTACAATGCGCACTATAAAATTCATATTCTTTGGAGGGGAATTTATGATTTTTTTTAGCTAGGTTTTTTTAATTTAAAAGTGTCCTTGTTTTCCATTACAATATTTTGCCATTGGCCACATTTATGGGTACCACTAACCGTAGAAAAATGCGAAGATTTCATTTATAGTTGCCTTATAAAAAAAAAGATTGTGATAGGCCGAATCATTTTTTATGAAGAACAACGATAAATTAAAAAACAAAAACGATCTCTTCAATGATTTTTTTTTCTAGTTGCCCCGCTAAAAAACTATTTGTTTTAGACTTCTGACGAGCATTTGTTTAAAAGTAATAAACTTTTTTGTATACGCTCTCGAAACAAGCTGATTCTTTGCTAGACCCAATAAAATAGTATGAAAAATGGTTATATTAGGTACTCAATACCCAAAATACAGTTTTTCAGAACGGATAAGTCAATTTAGTTACTATGGTGGCGAAATTTGTTTAATTAATAATTGGTGTAAATTTGTTGTATAATAAATTATTTTGTCTAATTATTGTTGCTATTTATTAAAACTCTCTCAGAGATAATAAATAATCTTAGATCCCCACAAGGCACACATTTTTTCGAAAAAAATGGTCAGGTCTTCTAAACACGGGAGATTCCAACAAAATTAGCTTGTTTTCTCATTTCACGTTAAATGTTTCTGCTTCTAGTTTTCTAATAATAATAACTGAAAATTATTATGCTAATTACATGATAAAGATAACCATAATCTTTGCTTGGGTTTTTTGAAAATAGTATCATGGAAAATTGCTTCAATGAGTTTGTCCCAGGATTGAGTTTACAGGAAATTGCAAAGGAAAAACATTTCTTGCTTTATCTGAAACGAACAAATCTGTAATTAAAACTTTGTTATTCTAACTTAATAGAAAAAAAGTTCATTTTTCTCTTGATTTTGGACTTATTTTTTGTGAATTATTTTTCTCAGCGTTTTAAATCCTATCACATTGGCGGTTTTACTTTTTTAATAACGATGTGACTTTGCCAAATGAGTTTACGCAAGAATGATGAACATGAAAGCAATTGCTGTTTAATAATGATTAAGCAAGTTAAATAAATATTGCGACAAATTATTAATTAATCATCGCATGAAAATATTTTTAACAGTAATAATGAATTGACAGATAATGTAAATGAAGTTTGGGGCAAATAAGGCGAACAAATTTGTGTGAAATCTTAGTCAATTCCATGCCACGCAGTTTGAAGGAATGCATTGACGCCGAAGACTACTACATTAATTATTAGAACATTATATTTTTGTGATTTACATTTAATTTTATTAATAAATAACTAGTTTCTTTCGTTTTTTCTATTTATCTTTTTTACCTTTAAACAAAGCAAAAAAAAACAGTGGTAAATTTAATTTTACAAGAAGAAAATTTTTTTTTAATTTTATGCTAACACTGCTCTGCTTTACCTGAAAGGAGCAAATCTGTACTTAGAACTTCATTATTCTGATTCAGTGAAAAGAAAAGTTAATTTTTAATAATATAATATAAATATCGAGCGATCAAGATAATTTGTAATCGAATCATCTTTGCATCCAAGGACGTATGTCTGTTTTTGAATTAACTGCACGTGAAACTTCAAATAAAATGACAAGTCGAAAGTTAAAACGGCAATAAAATGGGCTGGAATTAGTCGCCGAGGTATAATAATATGAGTAGGACCGTTCTTTTTAAAGGTAAATTATAAATTTGGTTATTATAATCATCACCTTTTTAATGCCATTTTACCTTTCGACTTGTCATTTTACTTGACATTTTACAGACATACGTTTTTGGACTCGATTAAAAATTATCTTGATCGCTCGATATATAATAATAATAATAATTTTTCTCTGCTTTTTAAATCTCATTACATTGGCGATTTAATTTTTTGACAACGATGTCACTTTGAAAATTAATTAATTAATTGAATAATAATTGTTTTTGTTAAAAGTAACTTTGTATTTTTTATCTTAAAGCTGTTTTTTAGAATTGCCATTTATTAAAATTATATTTTTCTTGAACATTTTTGTTATTTACCTTG